GCATTATGTCGTGAATTACGTTAAACATAGAGTGATTAATCGTTATAATATGCTGAATACGTGTATAATTTGTAGCCGGCAAGTATCAGGTTTTGTCACGTTCGCCTATGATATCTTGTGGTGACTAACAAACATTTAATGATTCGATTTACAGCGAGTGAGTATGATTTTATCTCAATGATAATTTAGTATCCACGACTTCTTAACACGAGTTTTCTTTTCTACTAATTTGTAGCCAGTGAGTATAAGATCTCTGATAACGTTTTACAACGGAATAATTCATTGACGTGTTTTGTATGTTCTGTGAAACGATAGCTGGTGAGTATATGTTTCCTTGTCGTTTACGATATTTCATATTTGATGGCACTTTCTCTCTAAATTTCTTTACTATCAATCATAGTGGGTAAGCGTCGTGACATGTTTATGCTTTTAAACAAAATTTTTGTCGCTTTTAATTGACCATTCCGCGTGATGCTATTGATCTACGTATTACTGTAGTTGGTACTGTATGAAATTTTAATAATTTCTCGTCAAATCTTTGCTCCTTGAATGAAAACATCTCGTAAACCTAACCATACTTTCCCTCTCCATTGGCAATAATTTTAGTTTGTAAGTGTATTTCTAGGTCCATCTTCAAAGTTAGCCATATGTTTTGCTGATTTAACATTTAGGATTTAATTATTATTAGCTAGTAAGTTCAACGATGAATGCGATTAAGGATTTATTGCGAATATTCTAAATTCATTTCATATCGTGCGCTTGTCTTTCCCTTTGTCAGACTGTAAGTGTAAAACACATTATTATTGGGAATTTTCGTGGTTTCTTATATGCATGACATCCCCACAATCATTTGCTAACGCCATCATTTAGCTGGTGAGCATGATGTTTTTAAAACTACCGTGCACATCGATGTCATACTATCGTCAATTAATGGGAATTATTTTTGCACGCTTTCTACGAATTAGCTGGTATGCACAAAGTTTTCATTCATTTTTTTCACTGAAGCTCAACTTATCAATTTCTTGATCAATCTTTACGCGCATACTAGACGGTAAATGAAATAATAATATTATTATTAATGAGGATGATGATTTTTCATCATGTGTCACTGATTAACTTTAAAACGCGTAAATTCACAGTTAGTAAGTACGGTATTGATCGCGCATTGTTGCGGCATGCTTGAGCACCATTTACTAACAAACATTTTATAACTCATTAGGTTGTATGTATCACGTTGACCTCAGAACCTATCATTCGTCTTTAAGTAAAAATAATTATAAATTTGAAAATTGTCTAAACTTCACGACCCACACATTTATCATGTGTATTAGCTTGTAAGTATTTGGGTGATACTACCCATTTCCTATACGCATCGCATCGACGCTCACCCTCCCTCCACATGTAATCTCTTTGTTGAATTATAAATTATTAGGCTGTGAGTACACATGATTTCTCAATATAATTAATTGCACATTGTGTGAAACTTGCTGATACATCCCTTTTAAATTTCCAGCAAGTAAGTGTGAATAGCTTATTTTCTCCAGCACCGATGATTCAATATTTTCCTAAACGAAAAATCCTCTAAACTTTGCTGTAAACTATCAGGAGGCAAGTATGAAGGACATCTGTTTTCGTGACACAATGTTTCTTCGATAATTTACGTTTTTTTCCTTACATTTTCAGAGGGTAAGTGTGTGGACGTGAATGTGCTGCGCACGGTGGTTTGTATTGGCCAATGACTGACTGACTTCTTCTGATTCCGCTAAATCGCTAGGTAAGTGTATTCAAAAATGTCTTGATGAGATAATTAACAATTAATTTGTTAATTCATATTCTACGAACCACCAGCTTGTGAGTATGATCGTGCTTATTAAATAGGAGTTTCATGTCTCTCCACGTAAAAATCTAATCCAGAATCGCAACAATTTCTTAGCATGTGAGTATCAGCGTGATGAAATGGATCGGATGTTCATTCTTTTTCAATCGCTCATCGTTTGTTATGTTCCTGATTTTTAGTGCGTAAGTAGAAAAGGAACTGGATGATTTAATATTAAAGCTTTTTGATTTTACTGACGCGCGTCCCTTGCAAATTACCAGTTTGTGAGTATGAGGATTATCATATTCATTAAGATTGACGTTTCATGCTACATGTTCCTAACGCTTATGTTATACGTGTGAAACTGTAGATTGTGAGTGAAAAGCTTCACTGTTGTTTTCTTTGAAAGTGATGACAATCCCTTTACAATAATTTTCTCCCGTGATTTTTGTGATTGTTAGCCTGTGAGTGATGAATTTAACCAAATATTCCTATTCTATGTTCTCTGAATTTGTTTATTTATTTGTATTTGTTGTGTGAATTGTTAGATAGTAAGTGTGACGTGAATTTGGTTCGGTAGTTTGGTGAGCGCATACTATACTATTTAACCCTGTTTATATGCATGGACACTTGTTGGATCATTAGTGAGTGAGTAAAGTTTTCATTTATTAATTTATTATTATTTGTGATCTTGTAATTAACAATGCCTCATCTTGCATATTCTCAAATGAACAGCTCGTAAGTGATTGATTTTTTTCTTTAAAAAAAAAAAACCAAAAGACTCAATACTTACTAATATTCAAATTATCAGAGGGTAAGTGTGTCGGAAATTTAAAACATTAAAACTATATGCGTTTCTCCGTTCGACCTTGATGTCGTCAATTTTAACATTGTTCCCTTTTCCAGCCGGTGAGTGTCATCAGGTTTCAGGTTTTGCACTAGTGTCATAGACTGTTCTTGATCAAAAACTCATTGTTTATTTTCAAATTTCAGCTGGTAAGCACAAATCTCACCTGTTCTAGGTCGTTATTCCATGATCATTTATTTACCTAATCGACATTATAAATATTTACACAAACCTTCAGTTAGTAAGTACTCCGTTTTCAGTAACATGTGAAGCTGCACAATTAACCACATATAAAGCACTTGTCGGCTAATCACTTTATTTCGTCAATTATTAGCGCGTGAGTGTTCATCATCTTTAAGATAGTTTGCCTTTATCAACACCCCCCTCTAATCGCATCTCTTTTGTCAACGTCAGAGAGTAAGTGCCATTAAAGTTTCTTGGTTTGGATAAAAATCCTCGGATATATGCTCTAATCAATTTTCTTGATGGAAATCTTAAACCATTAGGTGAGTAATAGGATTTATAATTTATTTGCTCTTCTAATAACATTTCATGGTTATTTACTCTGCGTGTATGCTTTCTAATTACAGCCCGTGAGTATGTCTTGATGTCATGGATTTGCCTTTAGAACGTACTCCTCTAATCATTGCATCTACATTACATTTCAATGATTTTTAGTTTGTATGTATAGGATTTTATTCTATTTATGATTTCTCACCTGTATAAAGAATATTTTTTTTTGTTTTTTCCTGATTTACTTTGCTAATTATCACTGTAGTCCGTAAGTGGATATATCTTTATGTCAAATGACAGTCTCGGTTTTACAATCAACTGCAACTGCATCATTTGTTAACACATCATCATATTCTCTATCAAACTATTCTCATCAAACCATTAGGAGGTAAGCATTAGAATATGGTCGCATTCTTCTCTATGATTGCGTTTGGTTAATTGACCTGCATTGCACGTCCTTTTTTCTTTCTTTTGAACAAACTTTCAGATTGTAAGTATAGGATACAAGGATTGTTTCGTGATTTGTGACTTCAGAATGATTTGTTTTTAAAATGAAAATTAAATTACCACTTTGCCTTTCACGATTTGGCACCTTACTAATTTTTTATCAGTCAGTGAGTTCATGATATTCATTTTTTGAATGGTAAATTATGTCCAAAAGATGATACCAATAATTTCTAATTGACTTGATGCGTGCACACCTTTTCAATTCCCACGAAATTATTAGCTGGTAATACACGAAAGTCTGTTCATTCGAGTCAGACGTTTGAATATAATGATTTTTTTTCTAACATGCATGTCTGTTAAACTACTAGGATGTGTGTATATCATTTTACGTGATATTCCCTACATTTTTTTTTACGGTCTATTGATTGATCATCACCTTCATCATCAATTTTTTAGGCAGTGAGTATTAGATTCTTTACTTTTGCAAATAATTCGCGATGGTTATTAATATTACGCGTGTACATGCTTGTTCAATTAAAATCTAACTGTTTTCATTTTGATTTCTTGTCACATCATTAGCTGGTGAGCATGTTGTGTCCTTTGTTTCTTTCAAAATTAACAAGTTGCGCCCAAAGCTTTAATTAACCCCTTAACCCGTTCCGGTGATATTGTTAGCCGGTGAGTGTAAAAACTTTGCCATCATCACCTGTCCGCAATTTGATGTCTTTTATTAACATTGTGACTCGAGCTTATTTGTTTTATTCAATTAACAGCAAGTAAGCACAATTTTTTTTCGTTTATGGCTGAAATAGAAATTCACTCTAACTTACTAATAATGCGCTCTTCTTAAATTTATAGTTTGTGAGTGATCGTTTACTTTTAAAATTCGTGCATGCATTATGCTTATGGCTCATGCACTTACATCTTCTCTAACGTTAAATTACTAGATTGTAAGTGTGTCAATCATATTTGTTTCCAAAATGTCACTCATGGTTGGTTAAACAATAAATATCTATTCAAATTCCATGATTACCCTTAGCTGGACCTGGTGGTAAGTGTCGAGTGTTAATTGAAATGTTGGTCCATGATTCTTGATGCTTTTTTAATCAAGATCTTATGAGCTCTCATTAAAAAACCTTTGTACTCTAAAATTAGTATCCGGTGAGCACATAATTTTATTTAAAGCAACAGCAATCAACTTTGACTTGATAATTCATAACTTTGCGTGTTTTAAAATTGCCAGCTTGTGAGTTTTATCTTTTTATTCGTTGACAATTCTTCTCGGCAGACCTTTTTGATGTTTACTTATGTTGCATTCTCCATTAAATTATTAGCTGGTGAGTGTATTCTTGTTCGAAACGGTATCTCGCTAAACCAATGATCGTCCAATTAAACAACCTTGGCTTGTCTTCAGCTCCATCGTCTAGTAGGCATCATGTTTATCTGTGATGTATTTGTCTGCATTGATACTCCTCTAATTAACATGTCCTTTGTTGAATTTTAGCCCGTGAGTACAACATTCTATTCGAAACATCAACTCACTATGTAGCAATACTTCTCTAACAAATCTTTTGACTGTACGCATCACGCGAATATCTGACGAGTGGGTATTGTTTATTTATTGTGACGGTTTTCTTTATCCGTGTAATGAATGTTTTCTCATCCTAATGCCTTCACTTAAAAAAATTATTAAATTTTTACGCCCACAGCTCCAGCATCGGCCAGTGTGTCGACCTACACACCAGGTATAATTCAATTCTATTTACAGTATATCGTTGTCATGTGACACGTGCAAGAAAGAAACTGATTTTTTCTCATCTGTATATTGCATTATTAGTAACTACGACCTCATTCAGAATAGCTACTACATCTACTACATCTAGTAAATCTAGTAGTAGTAAAGTTCCCACCACTAGCGTTTACCCGGCTCCAATTAACCCTCCAAATCCGGGTAAGTACGCACCTCGTCAAAACTCAGATCACGCTCAAGCGAAATCTATTTAACTCAACGTGCGTCATAACTACACAGCTCCATCTGATTCATCATTGGGAACCGGAGTGATCGTAGCTATTGCTCTGTCTTCTTTTCTAGCTTTTCTAATCATTGTGGGATTGGGGATTTTTATGTGGCGAAAATCTCGCAGCGAGTACGAAGGTGTAATCGCCACCCCTGGTACTCTTGGCAGGCAGTAGCATCTCCTGGAATGATGACCGCTTATTTTCTTCTTTCTACTTGTACAGAAACGAGAAAAGGAGTGAGAGAAACTTGTTTTTATTTATTTGCAAACTTCACAAACAGGATTTAGATATTGAGATAGAAAATTTTTTATTGATATATCTAATCTGTTTTAAAAATTTTATACTTAATCTATTTAAAAAATTGTTACATAACCGTATACTTCTTCAATCTGCCGTGTTTTTGATGGATCGGTAAAGGTTCTTTGGTGGCTTGTTTTTTTTTTGAAACGGTATTCAACATAATTTCAATAAAAAATTTCATTATCAACGTCAGAATCTAAAAGATGACTACTGTACAATGAGCGCGAAGAACACAATTATTATAATTTGATTATTATTTGTTTTAATAGTTTTAATATATAATTGATATACTTATATACTGATTAATTAATAAATTTAAAAAACAATTTTAAAACAACAAATTTAAAAAAGCAATAAATTTAATAAAAAAATATAACTAGTAATTATTAAAAAACCAACAATAAATTGATAAAAAAATCGTAAAATAATAATAATAAAAAAATAATAAAATAATAAATCTATAAAAAAATCAATAACCATAAAATTAAAAAAAATTAAAATATTAAATAAATGCCTTGTAAATTTGATACAATAACTAGAATATAAAGTAAATTAAAATAGTTTAAAAATAAATTGGAATAAATAAAAGCTAAAATAATAAGTAATTTTCTTTATAAATTTTGTTTTATTCAATTCTTTTACTGTAATAATAATTATTATAACAATTTTTATTATAAAAATTGTTGTTTTAACAATTATTGTTATAACAATTATCCTATATATATAAATTACTTACTTAAATAATATTGCTTAAATAACATACTTTATTATTAAAAAATTAATATTATTAGTTTTAATTATATTTTATTTATTGATAATATTTATATTTTATTTATTTAATAAAAATTTAAAGTTTAGTTATAAGTATAATTTTTAATTTTAAAAAAAATTTTTTATAAAAGTTGATCTCAAACAAACTTAAAAATTTTTTAAGTTAAAGTTTATATAATTTATAATCAGTTTTGTAGAATTATTTGTCAAGAATAATTTTAATTATTACAATTGTAATAATTTAATTATAAAAATTTTAACTTGTATTAATAATAAAATATTTTTTTTTACTTTAAACATATACTAAATTTTACATATTAAAATTTTAAACACAAAGTTCAAAGTTATTTGTTTTGAAAAATTTTTAATAAAATTTTAATTTTTTATTTAATAAAGTAAATCTTAAACTATATTTTTTATAATATAAATAGATTATAAAAATTAATATTTAATTTTATCAAAATTTTTTAAATTTTTTTTAAAATTTTAAATATACAGGCAAATTTGCTTGCATTACAATTTAAGAAATAATAATATTTTAAAAATTTTTTTTTATTTTTTATTTAAATAAAGATATTCAATGCATGTGTGTTTTTTATTGAGTTATTTATATCCAATTACATATACATTTTAGGTTCATTTAAGTTAACCTTCCTTTTAAATCTAGACTTACCCAATGTACCATGAAAGTGGATCCACACCTTGAGAAGATTATTATTAGGAAATAGAAATCCTATTACTAGTTTAAACTATTTAACCTAATCTAAATTCTGTCTCAACTGCATTCGTCATGAAAAAGGTACAATTATTACCTTTTAGAGATTGGTAAAACATTCGGATATCCTGATACTTTTTGCCCAGAACCTTAGAAAAAGTAAATCGCTTATTGTTACCACTTGCAACTTCAGATTATATTAAGTACATATTCGAAATATACTTTTCTTTTAAGCAAGTGCCAGATTGGAATAGCTCCAGGCTAAAGTATTCTTTTTGCATAATGAAGTCTGTCATGTCAGTTTGGGTTAGTGAACTTGTATAAGAGCTAGATCAGAAGTCTTTTCTTGTGCAACCTTTCCTGCTTTGACCTGTTTTCAGCCCACAATTGTTAAAAAGACTAGAGATCCTATCTTAATACAACTTAGCTTGTTTTGGTAAAGAATTTGCAGCTAATTGAGTACAATATGTGTTGGAAGCCGGTCAACCAATTATGAAGATGATAAATTTTTTGTAACTAGATGGGTTTGAATTCTAAATTTTCCCTTGGTAACCTATGAAGTATTATCACTATGTTATAGATCCATAGGTCATATTTTAAAATTTATTTTTGATATTAACTATATATATTATAAATATATAGACAAACTAGTATTTAATTTGTTATATATATATATATAACTTTATAATATAATGGTAATAAATAAAAAAATTGACCTGTGGATCTATAACACAGTGGTTAGTGCTTCACAGGTCAGATCACAAGACATCGGTTCAACTCCAGGTGAAGGCAGTTGAACAGTACCATATAATATCTGGCACCATAACCTAATATGTGCTGTTTCTCATGTGAAGCCGTTTCACACGCTGATTCAGCGGGCGTTGAGATTGTGATCTCCAGTTAAGGTGTCATGGCACATCGATCGTCCGGTTGGTGTTATGATGATCGCACTACGTTTGGTGCATTTCCCGGTTCCCACAGGTTGCTTCCCTCTCCTATAGTCCACAAGACTATAAAAAGAATCCTTTGTGAACAGGTTTCAACAGGTTCCTGCTCATGTTATACCCAATCACCCAACATCCCCCTGGCATGGCAGACTCTATGCACAAAAGACAAAGAGGCTAATCCTAAGCTGATCTATCCCAATATGGAGCTTGAAGATCTATCCCAATGTGGTG